GGTTTCAAGTAATTTTTGACAACCACAACCATGACCCAAGTGGACCATGCGAAGATGAAGAAATGCTTCATGTGAACCACTACTACTCGTCTTCTCCAAACCTTGCAAGAGAAGAACCAAAATGTTAAAGAACATGTAGATCTAGAAATCAACTTCCATGCAAACACATGGAAGACAAAATTAATGTTTGAAATGGCTACCCTTAATGAGAATATGAACCTCCACACACTTTCACCTATAGTCAATGATGAATAGGGTGAGAAATATAATGATCTCTTCCCTACATAGTTATCTATAGAGAAAAAAATCAGCATATAAAAATCACGAAGAATGGGGTTATTAAGTTACTTGGAAAAATAATCAATTTTTAATAACTTGAACAATGCCTAAAGCAGTTTTGATCATATTTGGAGGGTTACAAATTATCGATACAGGTAATGATTTCTTCCTAATAAAAGGAGACTAAGTTTAAATACACTCTTACAAGAGATCCTTGGATCATATATGGTCGTTACCCATTTGTGAGGCCATGAAGCCTCGACTTCATCACGGAAGAGCAACAATTGACAAAGTAGCAACAAGGAACCTGTCTTTAAGATTGTGTATTGAGTATTTTGATATCGACTTTCTTGACTGTAAGCTTGGAGTTCATTTTTTATGAATATTACATGCCGATGCAAAAACATCTCTGATCACTTGAGGCAGATTTGCATGCATTTACATAAAACTTGATTCAATAAAATCGTTCTTATTAAAGTTTTGACTCTACGAAAAAAAAAAATTGTATTGAATATAAAGGGCTTCATCTTTCCTGCTTTAATTGTGGTATGTATGGTCATAGTAATTGCGGCATAAAATATCGAACATTTAAAACAATTAGAAATTTAGATAATTTTTATTACAATAATTATTCAATGTAAAATATAAATAATTCATATGTAAAATATTTAAACTATTTATTAATTTTATTCATTTCAATTGTTGAACTAAACTAAATCATATAAAAAATAATAGATAAAAATATATCAAAAAGCGGAGCATGTATGTTATTTGATTTATATCAATCCCATAATTTTGTTAGTGGATAACTCTGCTTGTACCAATATATAGCAATAAAAGAAAAGGAGGCATGAAGAAAATTTCACCTCGAGCAAAAATCTTAGTCTAATAATTCCTCAAATTAATAAAAAAAAAATTTAAATAATAAAAGTAAATAAAAATATATTAAACTTTTTAAAGTAATCAAAACCTCACCTCTCACTTTTAATTAGTGTTTTCAAGCTTTTACTCTAATCAAAATCTCAAATACATCCTCTAAAGAAAAGCAAATGCCTTATGAGTTTTTGTTTTTTACTACATCAATATTCATGATTCCTACAAAATCATTTGTCTCCCATAATCACTTCTACTAAATTGAGAATTACATTAACTTCCATATTTCTTTTCTTTTTTTTTTTTTTTTTTTAAAAGTTTTCACGTTCAAATATATAAAAAAAATATTTTATTTAATCTAAAAAAATATGATGGTTTTCTTTAAAAATAAATAATGATCACAAAAATTCTATTTGATTATTAAATAATATAAAATAATAAATTAATGGATATATGAATTTATTTAAAAATAATAAAAAAATTTTAAACAAATTTTGCATTCGAGTAAAACAATACAAGTACTTATTTTGTTTCATTTATTTTTTTAAAAAATACTTTAAATACAAAATAAATTATAAAAACATGATTTGCACATTGAAGTTATATAAACATATTTTAACTTTTAAAAAATAAAAAATAAAAATTTCCCTTAAGCACCAAAAAGATATTATTTTAAGGAATTCAAATGTTTTGTACAACATCTTCAATAATATATCTTATATAAAAAATAATAATAATAATTTATAAAGCACTATAATTACACAAGAAACTTTAATTACAATAACTTTTTTGAAAAGAAACATGTTTATGCTTGCTTATAATTCATAACAAATCACTGTATATTAGATATGTAAGTGTCAATCAATTTCAAGAATAAAATTTTTTTTTTTTTTTTTTCAATTATTTATGTGCTTTGACAAGTTAGAAAACAAGAAATCCAAAATCACAATCATACCCAATTAAAATAAAATATCACATTCTTTACCACTTAATTATTAATCATTACATGTTTTCCCAAAAGGGCAGTCACTGAATTTTTACACTGATTTGATTTCTTAGTTATCTCCATACAAATATTTATATATTATGCTAATTATTTTATACTATACACTAATAACATCGCAATCTTTTAACGAGAACACACGCAACATAATTTTTTTTAACGAGACCAACTATACACATGTAAATCTTTCAATTATGTATATGTTACTAACAAGTATTTGTGGGTCATCAATTAAAAGTATAAATAATTTTCAAAAGATACTAAAAATCACTATTTGATCTTTTTCAGAGCTCATTTATATTTTGAGTATATCTCATCAATCTTGGCTTCATTGTTACTCTACAAACACATTCCTCCATCCATCTTTTCATAAATAAATATAAATAATTTTATGGCCATGTTTGGAAGCAATGTTAATTCATTTGAAATTTCACAGTTATTTCAATTTGGGATAATGAAAATCATCTATTCTAAAAATGGAATTAAACAATATATTCTATCAAATTCAAATGTATTATTTAATTCTATTTAAAATTTTCTAAGATGTTAGTTTTCATCGTGTAACAATCCACAAGACACAGAAGAGCAACCCATATTACAACCTTAATATAGTAATGGGCTACAGATCCTTCATATCATAAATATGCCCTCATAATATCTTTTCCCTTAATCATTTTTAGAACAATAGAACTGCAATACTGTAAAAGAACAACCCGTATATAAAGAATGCAAAAGAACAAGCTGATTCTTGTGAAATCCATATCAAGTCATGTAAGATACAATTCCAAGAACTTGAAACGAGAGATTCAACAATTTGAGGTTCGCAAGAAAAACAAAACCCTATCCAACAACTCAGACCATCTTTTCTTCATAGCAGAACCCGCAATTTGCCTTGGACATATATAAAATTCCCACTACATCAAGCAATCCCAATGACTATACCTAAGAAGGGGAAAAAAAAATTTAGAAAGAAATACTTAAAAGCTATACACCAAGGGGAGAAATATCAACTCATCTTAAAACAACAAGCTAATCACCACTTATCACTACAAAAACCATCATCACCATTGATATTATAGAGCACTAAATGGAGAAATTTTTGAGTTCTAAGTTTCTGGTGCAAATGCTACTTACTACACAGGAATGACATCAACATTGGACGTATCTTCACATCTCAATATAATTCCATCAAGGCTAGCTGGGAAGATACATCTGGCCCACTGCCATCCTGTTGCTAATGGCTCAGGAGGCGGGACGATCATAAGCACATTATCATTTCTCTGAACAATGCCCATTACACTAACTGTGCTTCCTTCTTTAATGTACCTACAAAAGCAGCAATTGCAGTTTCAGATTACCAACCACCAAACTATCAAACAGTTAGCAAGTTTTCACATTAAACCTTCGGGCTTGGTTTGTCATTATCAAGATTTGGGTTAAAAGTGTTCTCTGTTGGTCGTCTGAATAGGAGGCCAGGATATATATATTATCAACAATGATATCCTTTTGTAACATGCAGTAAATAGGTTCAGGCCTGCGTTCCATTTTAGGGGAAAATAAATCAATGAATGATGTCATCTTTATCATTTAAATGAAAGAGATTTTACCCTTCTCTTAATTGCATTACTCGATCATCACTTGAAAGATTCTTCTGCGTTAACCACCTCATAAACTCAGGAGATAGATTTTTGTTTTCAGGCTTAATATCAACAAAGACTGAATCGGCAACAAATGGAGTCACCTTTGCACCACTCCCAGTCTTAACCAATGCTCTCAACCCAGATTGGAAGTCAGAGATGTAGAAGTCCACCACATGCCTCTGCCAAAAAACACTAGTAAATTGGATTTGAAAATCTTAAGTATCAAATTGCTAGTAGATATATTGCTTCAGCAAAAGCTAGCATCAATGTATCATTTCAGAAATTTGAAATGCACAAGGATTTTTTTTTTCTTTTTTAAATAGAAGAAGAGGTGAATCAAATGTATAGGGATACTCAAAGTCCAATAACCAAGAATCGCCTGAAACCCCAAAAAATCAAAACCTAAAAGAGTGGGAAAGACACTTCCCTGATAACTAAAAGAAAGGTACCAAAATAGGAACAGAAAGGATTCAAAGACCATGCACAAAAGAAACCAGAATTTGAGATACTCACCTCTGATGATCTGAGTCCCCATGTAAAACGACGATGGGAAGGATTGGCTTGTTTTGAAGCCCATCCTCGGTACTCATACAAACTGGTAGATGTATAAACACATCTTGGAACCTTTTGGAAGGATGACTCAAGGGGTACATTACCACAAGTAACCACCTTCAACCATTACAACAAAATGTGAGCATAAGAAACATCATCTGATAAACTTCCACATGAAAAAGCCAGTAACACTTTCTAAGCACAGTTTTTGGGAAAAGTAAATGCATTTACGAGTAGCATACATGCACACAACACATATGCATATATATATATATATTTGAGAAAAAACAAGAGCACCGGATTTACATGGCACCAGGGGTATGCCCCCGATGTACAAAAACCATTTACATAAAATCATGTATTGTTGATGTCTTCAAGATCTTTTCTATCAATGAGAGGATGACCCTTAAAAAATGAAAGCTTTAAAACCAAAGATCTTCACATCAACCAAAAGGAGAGCAAGATATATTTCGAATGAACATATAGAGATGGAGGAGGTGGAGGAGAAGGTGCATTCATTTCTTTTGGCCACTTTTACACTCTGATACTACAAGCCAAATGGGGAGTCTCTCCTCAGCTTTAGATGTCTCCTTTCATTCAAGGCAGTGTTAGGTTTAGAGATCACTTTCAGCAAAGTCAAAATTGGCCCTTGTTGGGGAGAGTTTGATATGAAGATCGTGGCTAAAATTATAGGGTGTAAGGAGCCCTCTTGGCTGATGAGATATCTTCAGCTTCCTTTGAGGGCAAAGTTTAATGATTAGTTTATATGGGAGGGCATGCTAGCTAGATTTGAGATGAGACTGTTGGAAGAGGAGTTTCTATCTAAAGGGATAGACTTATTATATTTACAATGTCTAATTTCCAATATATTTTTGTAATGGTTTTTATTCCAATTTCAATGGTGAAAAAGCTTGAGGCTCTTTAGTTTTGATTCCTCAGGGGTGATTTGAGGGGAGCAGAAAAGGTTCCATCTCTTATCTCTTGCATTCTTGGAAAGGCAAGATGGAGGTGGGCAATCAGTTGTCAAGAGTGATTTTAGCAAAGTTTGAGCTCAATGATAAAAGGTGGAGAGCTAAGCCTTCTAGGGACCTGCATGGGATGGTTTTAAGGAAGCAATTCTAGATATTTGGAAGAGTTAAGTGACATCTATTTTGTCTCAACAGGTGAATTTAGTTAGAAAACTAAATTATTAGGAGAGGGAAGAACATTTTAGACATCTCTTCACTTTGTCCTATTGCAATACCTCCCACAATGGAATAAAGGTTATTATATGGAAGCTTGAGTCAACAGTTTATATTTGATGTGTAGTCCCTTTACATGAATCTTGCTCGTCCCAAATTGACTCAGACTGCCTTCCCTTGGAATCTGATTTGGAGGTTGAATGAATTCCCTAGAATTATTGTTTTTGCTTGGCAGACACTGAGTGCAAGAATCCTTACCATTGATGATTTGAGGAAGAGAGGAAACATTTAGTTGAATGGTTGCTATCTTTGTAAAAGGGACTACCATCCCTGATCATTATGGTTTCCTTTCTCTTTTCGTTGGTGTACAACACTTCAGTTCCTTGGTCTAAGCTAGGTTAGAGTGGGTTTAGAGGTTTATGAAATTTAAGCATGGCACTGTCGCTGGTGATAAGAAAAGAAAGAAGTTTATCTTTCTTGTCCCCTTGACTACTTTGTGGCTCACCTGGAAATGAAAAGAGAGAAAAAAAAAAGCTTTTTAGGATGCTGTTTCTCCTTTTGATAGACTTAGCGATATTCAGTTTTATATTCTTTGTTTTTTTTAAGGGCATCCTATGTTTTAGTTATTAGGAGGGTGATCTTGTTGATACTTTTGCAAGGCTGTAAAAATTCTTATTTTGTCCATGACGAGAACCTCCTTGGTGCCTATTTATAGTGTTTTTTCTCTCTAAGGAAAAGATGTCACTAATTAACCCCAGCTTCTAAATGGTGATGATGGAGTAGAATATCACGTAAAACATTTAGTTGACCAATCTAAATGTTGGCTCTCCTGGCAAGTTAGAGGGGATATCTTTGTTGAAGGGCAGTTCACCTTGTTGGGCCTTCTTGGGCCAGTTGTAAGGTGAATATTTCTAAGAATGATGTCCTTAAATGATGAAAAGCTCTCAGTGTGTTTCAATAGTATCAATTTCAAAGCAAGGTCGCCTTCAAAATACCTTGGAAGCAGATCTGGAAGAGCAAAACATCCCCTTCAGACAACTTTCTTTGCCTGGGAACTGCTTGAGGAAGAATCCTATGTGGATAACTTAAGAGAAAGAGGGATTGATACCTCCTCACGTCACTCAGAGGTTGAGGTCCAAGTGTTGCCATGGGCAGCTTTCATATAGCAAAAAAAAAAAAAGAAAAGAAAAAAGATCACAAGAGAAAGAAGGAAAGAATTTTTGTTAATGGCTGATCCATGTGCCTTTCGGAAACTGGATCTCCATCTCCCTTAGTGCATCATAGCATGGAGGCCTTAAGGTTGTGGAATTTTGCTCTTAGTCTCCTCAACTTGGCCTCAGCAATTTCGAGCAAAATGGCAGCAAGGAAAAACTGCTAAATCTTATCCTGTTTGCTATTTTCTGAGCCATGTAGAAAGAGATATAAAACTTTTTTCCTTTGGCATTTCCTCTCCTTTGGCAAATTAAAGATTACTGGTTCTAAAGCTTGGTACTTTGTTGAAGAGCTGATCTCTCCTTAATGGAGAGGATCTAGGAATCTCAGACATTTTGTACAAGTGTGCAACCCCTTGATATCTTGTAAATGACAGATTATGCTTTTTTCTTTTTTCAATAAAAAAGCATATTATGCATGATATATGCTGCCAATTTCACATCCATAAAATAGCACCATCAAAATAAACATGGGTGATGCCCAAACACAAATGCTCTTTACATGACATGCTTATAAATACGCTGCTTATTGACCCTGCTCCACCTGTTCAATATTTCAAAATATATCTTTATAACTCCAAAGTTATACAGACTTTTCCAAACATTTATTAAAAAAATTGATGATCAATTTCAACTACTGGAAAAGAGTTATGAATATCTACATTTCTGTATTGAAGATTGCTTGTGATTATGATTTACCACCACCCAAGTCCTCCTTAAAACCCCCCAACCCCCACCTCCCCCAACCCCAGGATTATTATTTAGTTTCATAACCACTTCCATCTTCTTTTAATATGGTGGCAATGAAATGTAGCAGATAAATATGACAATACTGTAAGCATGACCAAAATACATACCCCAGAGACCTTCACGTATTGCCCATTTTTTGCAGTTCGAAGATCAGCATTTGTATAACGAGCAATGAAATCTATGATACCTCTTTTCCCCCAACATGTATTCCAAATAAATAATGCAGCAACTGCGGCGAATAGAACCACAATAACAATGAGGAGAATTGCATTGTGCACTGCTCCAAGAATAAAACCACCAGCAAGGAACCCCATCACAAATATTAGAATCACCAACCATAACACCAGTTTGGGGAAGCTCCTCATGAAGGAATACTCATCATCTTGAGTAATTACTGTAACTGCCTGTTTGTGAGCAACAGAAGATACATGTGATGGAAGTGATCCTGTAGATTCTAGAGGGCCAGATACCTTCCTGGGTGCACCAGATGCGTTTAGGGGACCCGAAGAAAATAGGCCCAGATGTAATGAGACCTGTTGCTGGGAGTACTGGCGGAATAGGACCAGAATTCTGTCGTGTCACCCCACCAGACTGAGGACCAGATGACTTCTTTACAGGCTCCCCATGTTTAGTCAGTGGTCCAGAATTTGTCTTCTTGAGTGAAGCTGAACCAGTTCCAGAAGATAAAGGCCCTGACATGTTATAGGCAGACCGAGAAGAAGCATTAGGCATTCCAGAACCAGACTGTGCAGACACTCCAAACGATCCAGTTCTTGATGGGGCACCAGTGATGGGCCCAGATTTCCTGGACTTAGATCCATCTGTTGGGATATCAAACATTTTCCCCAGTTCTCCAGACTTCTTGATATCTCCACCAGTATAAGGCATGGCTGTAGATGTCATTGTTGGAGTCCTTTCTTTTGGCTGCTCAGGACGGCCAGATACATATAGGCCATTGCTGAGCTTATGAGATGGGTATCTGGAACCCATGTGGCTTCCCTTAAGAAAACGGATTGGATAAACACCACAAGCAGTATGCAAAAGTAATATTCAGGTCCTATTAAGGGTACAATATAGGAAAAAGAAAAAAAAAGTGATTAAATTTTTTTGAAGTCTAGTTTGGAATAATGAAATTTCTGACAATAACTGTAACATATCAATAATGAAATTTCTGACAATAACTGTAACATATCGAGATATAAAGGATGAATAGTTGAGCCTATGGCTGGCATTAAAAAATGAAAAAGAAACAACTAAAATAATCAGAGTGAAGGGAATCAGAATCTGATCAGAGGAAGTAGTAAAGAAACAACAAATGTACCGGAAACAAGGAATCTGATTTCTGAAATCATCTTTCATTTCCAGCAAACAACAAAAGCACTATAGCGAAAATAACAGTAAAGAAGTACTTGAAGACATAGACTAATATTTTAAAAAAATAAAAAGACATAGACCAATATTCAAATGACATGAACATAGATCAGTCGAGATTCTATACAAATCACAACTTAATAAGTTAAAAGGAAAGAAAACTCAAGACCACTTCAAGCCAAGATTGCAACCTGATACAATCATCACCATATGATAAAAATTAAACAAGACTAATGCATCCTTCAATTGTACGGGAGTTAAAATGTGATGTAACATAGAATAGTAACACCAAAATCAAAATTTGTTAGTTAAATGTCAAGGGTAACTAGGGAAAAGAACTGTATGCTTTATGAATTTGCTTTCAAAAGAAGAAATTTTAATAATGAGAGAGAGCTGTTACAAAAGAGATAAAGAGGATAAGATATCCTCCAACAAAATGGAAAGGAACAAAAATATAGATAAGCAAATACATTAAGACAAAATAGGATTTCAATCTCTTCCCAAAGTAGATAATGGCATCCCCCAACCACCCCAAAAAAAAAACATCCATGCCTTTGCCCAAAGAGAGGCAAAGAAGATCATCCTAGCCCAAGTCATATTAGGTAATTGAAATCGTCGCTTAAAAGTTCTAAAGCATTCCCTTCCAACCAAACCACAACCCACCCACCCCCGTGCAATATGTTATGCTCCTAGGTGCTCCTAATGCAAAAAAGCTATTGGACATAAAAATACCCAGGTTAAGGGGACATAACCATGCCACAAGAAAATGGAGAAACAAGTCCTATCATACTTGGAACTTTGATAACACGCCAAACATATGTTAGGCGAATGTTATTGGTGTTAATCCTGTTCAAAACAAAAGTCCATAACAGAACTCTAACCTACAAGGAAACTAATTTCCTTAGAAAAGGTAGGGACAGTGAATTTGATATGGATATTAGTGTGTTGGATGGGATAAAAAAAACAAGTGGAAGCACTAGAGGAGTTTAGGACTCCAAATTTTTGTAATCACTTCTAGTGGTTGGATAGAAGCCACCAAGAAAG